GACAAAAATATGCGTAAATTTAACTAACTCTTCGGCACGACTTTTTTCCTCGCGCATGAATTCTAGTCTCTTTTCGGCGTTTTCACACTGAGAGCGCAGAAGCTTGTTTTGGGATTCACATTCCTGTATTCGTTTCGTCAGCATAATTGACTGCAAATAAAAGATTTTAGGTTTTAAAAAGCGAGAAAATTAAAACAATTCAAATTTATCATTCAGGAATCAAACGGGAATGCCAAATTTTGCCTGCGCTCATTGCTGCCGCCTAATAATAGACGTTGTTCATTGGTTATTTTATTCCTCTCGATTTGTTCTGGCTTATTTATTTCTCTAAAATGCTCGGTTCTATTCATCACTGTATTATATGGCATAATATTTTGCGATTGTGCCATTGATGAATGAAAGGCGATGGAAACAGCCATCCTCCAGCTACTAGGTAAGGATCAACAGCGTCCAAGAAAGGCGCTTGCTACATTAGGAAAGATAGTACCAGGAAAGATCGGGATTGAGATAACGTGAAAGACGCAAGCACAACCACCCTAACCAATCATTTTCACAATAAAAACAACAGGCAAACGCAATACGATAGACTTGTGATATCTCTCCGAAAACCAAGGAAAACAGGAAACGGGCTGCAAGCATCACCACTAATACGCCGACCGTCCTATGATGTAACATCGGTGATAACAGGCACTGCATTTGTGCATGTATGCTAAGAAGAAGACAGATGCATAAAGCGTCTGGACCTTGATATTTTTCAAGCAAACTATCCCAAACATAGAACAGCTGAGTAGAGTCCCTTCTCTCGGCAACTGATTATGCGTTTTTGCCGTGCAGCGCTAGAGCGCTGAACAGGCAACAAAAACGCATGTTGCAACGATCCTGTCAGTGTGTGTGTGTGTGTGTATGTTTTTGTATGTGTGTGTGTGTTCGTCTGTCCGGGTGTTTCAACTTGCCAACCACGCAAGCTTTCAGGCTGAAATGTGTGTTCCCCAGTCAGGTACCACCCCAGGACCGCAGTTTCAACCCTCATGCACGTCTGGGCCCCGCGTACGAGCACGTGGTTTTGGCGCGAAAACCGCTAACTCGGGAACGAGAAAGCTAGAAAGCTGAAATCTTGGGGGAATGTTCCCTACCTTTGTATGACAAAAAGATTTTAAATTCAGCTGCACAGGACTGCCCGGGGCTCAAGTACGGGCACGTGAGAATTATGGCGGGAAAATCCATAACTCGAGAATGAGAAAAGCTAGAAGGTTGAAACTTTGGGGGAATGTTCCCTACTCATGTACGACCAAAAGTTTTCAAACTCAGCTCCTCAGGGCAGCCCGGGGCTACCGTACGGGCACGTGAAAATTTTTGGCGCGAAAATTACTAACCCCGAAACAGCAAAGGCTAGGAAGCTGAAACTTTGAGGGAATGTCCCCTACTCATGTACGAGCAAAACCAGGTGTTTAGAAGCGCCC